ATGCAGAATAAAAAGAGACAATGTCTGCAGACAGACTTGAGATGCTTTACCATACATAAACACTGTGAGTGGTGTGTGGCAACCTGTCTGTGATTCTGAAGAATGCTTTTTACAATACATGCTGACTTGCAGAGCCGAGTTAAAACTCTGGAGTTCTCCCTATTCTCATTATGTTAAGATTCCTTTCAGTCAATTTTGAGAAATGGAATTCAACCAAGGTGTATTTGCTGCCATGTAATTTATGAAGTCAGGGGAATTTGATCAGAGAGAGTGAGGTCAGAAATCAAAGAGAGAAATGATGACCATGGCCCCAAATGAAAGATGATCTTGTGAAGATGACTAGGGAGGGAATCTGTGCTGAGGAACAGCACTCCAAAAGGGCAAGCAGTGGTGTTGACAATAACAGCGATCAGTTTTGGTAGTAGAGAAGCATGGAATATGTGTGGATGGGAGAGGCCTGTTAGAAGGTAAAAAGGAAATTCAGATGAGACAGATTTCAGTGTCATGCGTGTCATTCAAATGGTAGACTTCATTCCAAGTATGCCAAGGAGGCATCCAGGGCTGTTGAGTTTGAGTGTGCTGTGTAAAATAGAGCATGATCTAGTGAAAAGAAGGTGCTTAAGAATCAACTAGGGAAAAGTGAAGATCCTTAGGGAAGTAAATCCTTTGGGAGTCCTGGCCTTCTGGTGTGTCCTGGCCTTACCACCATCTAAATATTCATTTTCTTGATACTTTTTTTCCTTTCCAATAGTCTCTGCTGTGTGGCATCAGAGGTGTGTGTGTGTGTGCGCGCGCGCGCATGTGTGCGTGTGTGCATGTGTGTGTGTGCATGTGTGCGTGAGTGTGTGTGCGTGCGTATGTGTGTTTAAATATTGGAAGCCTTTAATAACAGAACAGTAGCTTGACACCATTTCACTCTGTGGCTGGGTTTATTAGAATCCATGTATTCTCTAAACAAAATCTGGTGGAAGAATGTTTATCTAACTTGGCTAATTAGGAACCATCGTTCCCTGCTTGGACAGAAAACAAGAACAGAGCGTCTCTGGTATTCTCCATCCACCTGCACCATGGAGCTGATTGCCCTTGGCTTCTTAGAAAAGCTTCAAAGGCTGCAGCTGCTGTGAGTAATTTCTCTATCCCTCTGCCTCTGCCTCAGAGACCTCTAGCCTGGATGAGTCTTAATAAAACCTGCTACAGAAAGTCAATACCCTGTTGAGTGAGGCCTGCCTGCTTCTTTCTGTTAAAATTATAATAACTTTTTTTAAGAAAAGAAAACTAATTTATATAAAATATAGAGACTTGTTGGTGAGTCAATATTGCTATACTAACTGACCTGTACCTTCCATACACTTTCCAGACACTGCTGACCTCCACGACACCTGGAACCTCTCCCCCTAACACTTTACCTTCTTCCTTGACCTCTGCCTCCATTCCTGATTGGCAATATCAGGGCTAAATTAATTTACTTTTGTCATGGTTTGGGTTTTTTGCAAGGGGAACAATTTAATACAGGACACATTTTATACGATTATTTATGGAGACCTAGAGCCCACAAGAATGCCTCCCACGAGTCCTACTGGAGACCCAGAGCCCATAACAATATGTCATACAGGCCTGTTTCACAGATCTGTGCTGGGAAGGTCCAAAAGTCAGTGGTGGAAGCTGCAAAGTCTGTGCCAGAGGGATGAAAGATCTGTGCTAGCAGGCTGAGCAATCTACCCTGGAGTCAGGAAGCGACATGCAAAATAAGAACCAGAGCTCCCCTGAAAGTTACCACAGACATCCTCAGCAACAGTGAGGTCCCAAGCTCCTCCAATGATCAGGACAGCCAAGTTTCCATCAGGAAAGCCAATGCAGCAAGTTTCTCCAGGAGACTGGCAGTGCACCATCTTCCCCTCCAGAGCCAGGAAGCGATGCTCAAAGTGAGGACCAGAGCTCCCCCAAAGTGAACCGAAGATATTCTCAGTGCCAACAAGGTCCTGAGCTCCTCAGAAGATGAAAAA